AGCTATATGTCCAGCGTATTCCCATTTCAGCTTTAATGCTTTTTGCACCACATCGGTGACTTTGGTTTTCTGTCTTATCCATGTGTTTGTTTTCTTGTCCTTAAGTGATATACCTAGCATTGCTCTTTCCATCGCGTGTTGAGTGACTCATGAAGTGATACATGAAGTATATTCATGTTCTTTTTTGTGATTGTCCATGTTTGTGCCGCATAAGTTAATATCGGAATAATGCATTCATCAAAAACTTTAGATCTAAGGTGTAATTGAATTTGTCGATTTCTGAGTATATAGTTCAGTTTACCGAATGCTGCCCAAGCTAAATTTTACTACAACCGGTCAATTAAAGTTATCAATTTTATTGATCTCACGAGAATCATAAAAAATGGCAAAAATCGTGCCACGTTAATTTATTTAACATCTTTATAAAAACATTTTATTCTCGTATATATAACAAGCGAGTCTTCTACAGCTTTTCGCCGCTTTTCGCATCCTAATTTCCAGTGTTTTCTGTCGAAGCAATCTTCAGTTGTTAGATCTCTGGCGGTCATTGCATCGTCGATATCGTCCCTCCAGGATCGTCTTGGTCTACCTCGTTTCAGAGTTTGGCGCCGTACAGCCCAATACTTTCTTTTATTGTTTTATACATTCTTCTTTTATTTTCTTTGTTATTTTTTTATTCCATAATAGTCCGTGTAGCTGTCTGGTGGCTGATCTAGCTAAGCCAATCCTGGAATGTATTTATTCGCTACTTCCTGCTTTTGATGTTATTTGGACTCCCAAGTATTTAAAATTGTCTGCTGGTTTTATAGTTCCCATTTCGATTTGTAGGCTTTCTGGTTTCTCTCCTACAACTAAGTACTCTGTTTTTTGTATATTAATTGTGAGGCCCCATTTGGTGTACTCATCTTCCAGTTTTCTAAGCATGTAGCCTACCTCACTCTCGTCTTCAGCTAGAATGGCTTGGTCGTCAGCGAAGTGTATCGTGTACAATCTATCATCTATCACGAATGGGATGCCCTTATTGCAGCACTTTCTTCTCCACAGTGAAAGTGCCTCATTTAGATATATTTTGAAGAGTGTAGGTGCTATGCAGCAGCCTTGCTTTAGGCTCTTACTAATAGGAATTTATCTACTTAATCTATTTCTAGTTTTAATGTTTGCCATCCTATTGTCATATTTTTGTAGAGCTGTTGTACTGCTTATATATATATATATATATATATATATATATATATATCGGAAAAAGGAGTACGACCGTCAATCCAATATATATATAAGGATCACTCAGACGAGTGGTGGGTTCTTATATCGGTCTCTAGGTGGAGAAATAAAAGACAAAGTTGATAGGCTACTTTATCTATTTTGAAGACGTTTCGCTTTCGAGTTTTGAAAGCATCATCAGTTCATCTAAAAAATTATTACAATATGAGAACCACACAATCATGGAAACGATGTTAATTGTTACCTTAAAAAGATATGTAGCAGTCAATGTTATTAACAAATATGTGAATGAAACTAAGTAAATGGACATAGTACGCTGATCTTGTATAAACAGTTAAGCAACTAACAACATATATGAACTTGTACAAAAATTAGCACAGCAATTGACCATGTGGTCCAAAATAAATTCAATGTTATTTATATTAATAAGTGAGAAAGAACCAAGAAAATCATAAATAACCTCCAACTATTTAATGGATATTAAACTTTGATTTTAACTTTAGGTAGCATTATAAGTAATATTAATAAAATTCTACAAAATAGTGAATATGAAGTTACCGATCAAAGCCTTGTGGATGTCGCCGTGAACAACGTAACAACGTAATTTTGACCTCAAGGTTGGCTGTCTTTTTGCGGTTAGTTCGTTCCTGTTTCATCTAACGCCATTTTCACGGCGACATCCACAAGGCTTTGATCGGTAACTTCATATTCACTATTTTGTAGAATTTTATTAATATTACTTATAATGCTACCTAAAGTTAAAATCAAAGTTTAATATCCATTAAATAGTTGGAGGTTATTTATGATTTTCTTGGTTCTTTCTCACTTATTAATATAAATAACATTGAATTTATTTTGGACCACATGGTCAATTGCTGTGCTAATTTTTGTACAAGTTCATATATGTTGTTAGTTGCTTAACTGTTTATACAAGATCAGCGTACTATGTCCATTTACTTAGTTTCATTCACATATTTGTTAATAACATTGACTGCTACATATCTTTTTAAGGTAACAATTAACATCGTTTCCATGATTGTGTGGTTCTCATATTGTAATAATTTTTTAGATGAACTGATGATGCTTTCAAAACTCGAAAGCGAAACGTCTTCAAAATAGATAAAGTAGCCTATCAACTTTGTCTTTTATTTCTCCACCTAGAGACCGATATAAGAACCCACCACTCGTCTGAGTGATCCTTATATATATATATATATATATATATATATATATATATATATATTATATATATATATATATATATTGCTTATTCCTTGTTTTTGCATTGCTACCCAAAGCATTGAAAGTGATACATTATCATATGCCTTTGTCAGATCTATAAAGACTATATAAGTTGAAACGTTGTGGGCTAATCTTTTATCGATAACTTGCTTTAGAGAGAATATATAATCTTTTTCAATTTTATTTTTTGTTATTTTTCTATACAGCCTTGAGAGTGAATTTATGACACTTGGCCCCCTGTAGTTTGAACAATTCTTTCTATCTCCTTTTTTGTAGATGTTGTTAATATGTACTTTTGTCCACTCCGGTGGTAAGTCGTGTCCATTATAGAATAAGGTGAAGACATACGCCAGTAATTCCCGTAATACTTGTGGGCTATGTTTTAATAATTAATTTGGTATACCTTGTGGTCCGCATGACTTCCGATTTTTTAGAGTTCGTATTGCATTCTCGACTTCCTGTACTGTTATTTCATCGTCTTCACTGAATTCCACTTCATATGTTGTTGTATTGATGTTCGTGAATTGAGGTCTTGTTTCAGTCAAAAGTTGTGAGTAAGGTTCGATCCAAGATCTTTCTTCTATTAAATCTATTCTATTCGTTTCTTTACTGTTTGTTCTCAAATTTTTTACCGTTTTCCATGCTTCTCTTGATCTTGTTGACCCTATATATTTGTTGAGTTCTTCGCATTTACTTTCCCAGGGAATATTTTTGCTTTAGTTACTAAATTTTTTACTTCTCTGCACTTCGTAAGCTGCTTCATTGATTTTATTGATTATCTCTTTATAGGTATTCTGGGCCGAGGAGTAGATTAGGTTTGCCAATTTTTGGCTGAGTCGCAGCTTATATAAGAATGATGTCGAGTCGTTTTGCAGTGCATCAATATTGTATTTAGGTAGATTCGATTCCCGGGGTTTTGATTGAGCTAGTTGGTTGTCATTTTGATGTAGTAGCCGAGGTCGATACTGTAGGTAACATTTTGATCTTACCATATAGTGGTCAGTTCCGCACTCCGGTCCTCTTAATACTCTTATGTCTTCAACTTGTATGTGTGCTTCTTGTTTTGTGATGACATAATCTATAATTAACTTTGTGTTTCTCGTTGGGTGAACCCAGGTGTACTTATGTATGTTTTTATGTTGGCACAATCCGTTTAAGATTTTCAGAGAGTGCTGTTCACAGAATTCGATTAAGTGTTCCCTATTTTCATTTGTTTTAGCATCACCATATTTTCCTACGACTTTGTCATTTGTTTTTGTTCCTGTCCAAGCGTTAAAATCTCCCAACACCACAATTTCTTTGCGGCTATTTATATTTTCAATGAGTTCCGATAAAGTTTCGTAGAATATTTGTTTAGCTGCTTTTGATGCATTTTCTGACGGACCATATATTCCAATGATCTCGAGGTCGTGCCCTTTTCACGTAATAGATACTCTACTAATTGTCTCATTGATCTGCTCCCAGCTTTTCAAGTCATTCTTTATCAATATTGATACCCCTGCTTGTGCTCTTTTATCTTTCTCTACTCTACTATAAATATGTATAAAACCTCCTATGTCTTCACTACCTTATCCTTTTTTCTTTGTTTCGGCACGAACCGTGATATCTGATTTTATTTTCTTTACTTCTGTCATGACTTCATCTGACTTGGTGCTCCACCCATTCTCGTCAAAATACAAAAACTGCATACGAAAGCTGCACTCTTTGCTTTTACATCGCATCTTGATTTTTGTCGATAGGACATTTGGATCAAAAGATATCGAATTTTATCGTCGAGTTAATACAAATTTTATTGAACATTGATTTTGCGCGCTTAACACATGCAAAATCGACCGTCGCTTCAAGCGTTGTTTCTAAGAGAACAGATTTTTTTTGCGTTTTTATCCCCCTGCGTCGGGTGGTTTAGGGGAAAGACCGGGGGTAAAAGTGGTAAACTTTTTTGCATCTTTTTGGGGTCTCAAAATTAATATTCTCTGCAAAATTCAGCTTGTTCGTATGATTTTTAGGGGTCAACTCTCTAACGACTTGACTATAATACTTGGAAGCTATTTATCCAGAAATCCACCAGGAAACTAAGTTCCTGTAGCTGGCTGTATACCATATATCACAAAAAATTTATTTCAAATCCTTTATAAAAGGTATGCCCAAAACGCACAAACGGACTATCACAATTATATTACAAAACGTTTTCGGATGTATACCTCGTAAGTATTAACCACAATTTTCTTTAACCTTAGTCAACATTTTAAATTCAACGTTCTTTTAATTAAAGTGGTTATTTACTTTCAGGTTTACATTGATGATGGATTTAACAATCCGAAAACGCTTTGTAATATAATTGTGATAGCCCGATTGGGCAATTTATTATATACCTTTTACAAAGGATTTGAAATAAAATTTATCCAGAAAACTACGTTTATATACTTCTCACCCAACCTTTTCAACTTTTCCACGACATTTGCATACGTCTCTATAAAGTTTTCACTTCTTTCGATATTCCCCGAGTACAATATTAATTTTTTTTTTATTTATTTCAGGTTTTGCAGGACTGTTTGTAGTCTGCTCCAGTTTCGTTTTTATATCTGCAGTATTAAACATCCTCCAAATCGAAGTAGCAGACCTAAAAGATGCTCTGTTCTTTTTCTTGTTGCTAATAGATCTCTCAAAAGCCGTTAAATTGGCACAGTACGCTCTAACTGCCTCGAATCAAGACGAAATAAGTAAAAACATAGCGATGGGAGTTGCTGTTTTAGGGCCTACTATAACGCTAGATACTATAGTAGAAACTTTAGTAATAGGAGTGGGAACTTTATCAGGAGTTCAGCGTCTAGAAATGCTATCGTATTTTGCATGCCTGTCAGTCATTGTGAATTATATAATTTTATTAACATTTTATCCGGCTTGTTTAGCTTTAATGTTAGATTTAAGCAAAGTAAGTGATTATTATAAACAAGAACAAGTTTCAAGAATACTAGTGGACGAAAAGGATAAGTCTAATCCAGCCGCACAACGTGTTAAAATGATTATGTCTCTTGGACTTACTATAGTACATATTCATAGTAGGTGGTCAGTACCTGAAACTGAAACTCTAGCTATTGGTGGTAATAAAACTGTAACTCCTTGTAACGAATCTAGTTCATTGTACGGCTTTCTACTTAAACAATTTGCCCTAAGCGCTGATCACATAGTAATATTGGTTGTTTTGGTAACTTTAATGACTAAATTTATTTATTTTGAAAGTAAAGAAGAGTTACAACCAGTAAATGAATTTATTGTTGAGGTTTCCGATCGAAGAAAAAGCATAAAGAGGCAAGAAAGAACATATTCTACTAGCGTGGAAGTCCAGACTGATATACAAAATAAAGAAACTCTTCTGGAAAGATGTGATAGTATTGACTCAGATCCTAGAAACTTACAAGACTGTTTACAATTGCTCCGTGGTGACAAAGCCGATGAACTTTCCGATAATGAGATAATAATGTTAGTAGATACAAAACATATCCCTGCTTATACACTAGAAAAAGCTATTAAAAATCCCGAAAGAGGCGTTAAAATCCGTAGACGTATAATACAAAATTTTCTGGAAAACAAAGACTCCTTTAATTATTTACCATTTAAAAGTTATGACTATACCAAAGTGCTTGGTGCTTGCTGCGAAAATGTTATGGGTTATGTGCCCGTACCTGTTGGAGTAGCAGGACCCCTTGCTTTAGACAATAAAACGTATTATGTTCCAATGGCAACGACTGAAGGCTGTCTCGTAGCAAGTACAAACAGAGGTAAGTTTATTTATCATTATTAATATTTATAATCACTTTTCTTCTTCGCGTGCCATATCAGAATGGTATACCGACAAAAGGACGCGGAAAAAAGGACGCGTGGAAAAAAGGACGCATATTATAGTGTATTTTTATGTATGAGAGAGTAATAAAACAATAAATTATGTATGCAAATCCCTAAACTGTTGATACGGGTGACTCAATGAAAAACAGATATTTGTCAACAAGTTTACAGAAGTATATAGGAAAACAATTTTAAATTGAGTATGACCACCAGGTATAAAGGTTGGAGCAGAATAGAATACAATAGTTGTGAGGGTTACTAATCCCTAAATAAGGTTGCAGGGTCGGAGTGATGGAGGTTAACAGGTACTAATGAATTTGCAAGAAATGTAAGATGTTTATTTTATTGGTTATATATAACCAATAAAAGTTTAATAAGTACCTACCTATTTCCAAAATAAAGTTTAATTCTTTAGATAAAATAAAACGTTTTATTTTATCTAATTGACTAGATAATTACCTTCTAAACTTATTCCACAGAAAATGTGATAGTGGGTTTTTCCATTTTGTAGGAAGGTCCAAGTGGCGTATTCAAAATTCTTAACAGTTCACTAAAAGTAGGTACTTCAGTTGCAAGGTGCAGTTTATTGTGTATACTAGTGTTATGGAAAATACAGACAAACGTTTATGTGAAAGTGTTGATGAGATCGTTGAGTTAGTTAGCAGTACACTTGGTGTTGGAAAATCTACGATTTACAGAGTTATTAAAGAAGAGAAATGTGTTAGTTTTCAAATGCCACGTAATGCTCCAGGGAAACCAAAATTTCAAATAGAATATCATTTTAAGGAAGGACTTCGACGGAAAGTGCATGAATTCTTCTTTAGACAAGAATTTCCAACATTGGATACAGTTCTTGTCTCAGTTCGAGATGATAAGGATTACCCAGAAATGAGTCGAAGTACGTTATGGAAACTTTTAAAAGAAATAGGCTTCCGCTGGAAAAAGAATCCCAGAAAGTCTATTTTAGTAGAAAGAAGCGATATTGTCATATGGAGAAGACATTTTCTAAGAACCATAAAGGAAATGAGAAACCAAAAAAGAAAAATATTTTATCTTGATGAAACATGGATCAACGAGGGTCAACTGCCAAATAAATTTTGGCAGGATGAAACTGTTACAAGTCAAAGGCACGCTTTTGTAAATAACTTATCTACTGGTTTAAACCCACCATCAGGAGAGGGGCGCAGGCTGATAATAGTACACATTGGCAGTTCAGACGGTTTTGTTGAAGGTGGTTTATTAACTTTTGAATCAACTCGTACCGGTGACTACCATGAAGACATGAACGCTGATGTCTTTCAAGAATGGTTCGAACAAATGATAGATCTTCTTCCTAAGAACTGTGTAATAGTAATGGATAATGCAAGTTATCACTCCACACTTATGGAAGGACTGCCCACAACCAAGTGGTTAAAAAAAGACTTGCAGAATTGGCTGAGTTCAAAAAATATTACGTACCATCCCGGATCTATAAGAAAGGAACATTATTCGTTGTGTGCCCTTCATAAAGAAAAAATTTAAAAAATACGAAATTGATGAAATTGCCAAAAATCGTGGAATGACAGTACTTAGATCCCCACCATATCATTGTGAATTAAACCCGATTAAACTGGTATGGGCACAGATAAAGAGTGAACTTTCAAGAAAAAATACCACTTTTAAAATTCATGATGTTAAACATTTGTTTTTGGAGGCTGTAAATAATGTAAAACCTGAAAACTGGGAAAAGGCAGTAAATCACACTATTAAAGAAGAGGAAAAAATGTGGAAGCTGGACAATATTACTGATAAAATGATCGAACCAGTTATTATAAATCTTGGTTCTGAAAGTTCAATTTCTGAATCTGATTTGGATTTGTAACAAGTAGCTGTAAGTTTTATATTAATATTTTTATTCATCTATTTAACATACCTTAGACGGTTTTAAAAAATCTTTTTCTCTTTTGTAATTTTTAAAAATTAAAACAAAAATGTGAATTTTTTAAAACCCTTTTTGCCAGTCAGTTCTAATATAGTGTGTGATAAAAGAGGTCACTTTTGTTTACATACACATAACACTTTATAACACTGAAATAATTCATTTATTTTTTACAATTCAGTAATCAAAGTAATTTTTCAATTAATCTTGAGCACGCCCATGGAGTGGTCGGAGATACCAGTTAAAATTATGCTAATTACTCTCTCGTTCATAAAAATAAACTATAATGAAATACTATAGTTTATTTTAATTGAAAATAGCAATTACCCCCGTTTATCCCCTATATACAATTACAGAAAATGATTCTACCTAACCTAAAATCGGTTACGGTAAAAGTAACAAGTGAAAAATATTTATATGAAAAAAACTTGCCTTCACACTTTATCCAGGCTTAGGACTGGCAGCAGAAGCTGGCGTGTTTACAAGTTTTTTTTTATTTTTTTTTTTTTATTTTTTGCTTTTTTTGGAATTTTTTTCTCATTTTATTTTTTTTGTTTTATTTTTGATATTAATTTTTTTTGTATTTTCTTTTATGTTTGCAACTGAAAATTGTGAGCAATGCCTCTCAAATATTCTAAAGTTGGCCTGTCAGCATAATCGGCAACAATAGCCCTTATCCTGTTTGCTATATCTTGATATTTTCTTTTGCGTGGAGGTACGTTGCCCGAAATGTACTGCTCTATTTTCAAAACATTTAAATCATATTCTTTTTTTAGAGAATTAATAAATTTCCAAATATTCGGATGTGCAATATTGAGAAGAGAAGAAAAGCTGTTGTGCCATCCTTCGACAGCATTATTAGTTCGAGGTATATCTTGGTCTGCCAAATCGTAACAATTCCATACATTTGCTGGAAAAAGGGGTTGTCTTCGATTTCCTCTTCTAGCTAATCTCCATATCCAAGTGTCTTCAAAGTAATTAATCAGCGGCACTAGTAGTTCTTCATTTTGTGTATAATTGAGCAACTCCTCGTACATTCTGACTACATGGTTGTCTGGAACAAACGCAAGAGCTGTCAATTGTCTTAGGTGAAGGGCGAAGTCAGGATTCTCAATATATCTACGTTGCAATCCGGCACTTTGAATATGGCACCACATACACTGCGAGAAATGAAAAAAACATCCGCGGATTCTCACATTTGGGAACTCAGTTTGTGCAGCATTCATTGCCGCTCTTTCAAAGTCCATCATTATTGTTAGAGGGCGCAAGGCCGGATTCAACACCTTTAGTTGCTGAAAAACACGTGTATTTGTAAGTCTCTTGTGTTTTGTTCGTTAGAAGTGCAAATACAGTCGGGATTACATTACTGTGTCGCACTCCATGAATTGTGTATATTTGAGAAAACAATGGTGTTAAATGTTCCATCGGCATACCAATGATCGCATTGTTCCATAAATCTTAAATTTCTTTGTGTTGAAAATAACAAAATACGTTCTTCTTCTGGCCCGCTATCAAATAATAGAAATAGCTCACCGCCTGTAGTTGTTTTATATTCTTCAGGAAGCACAAGTTCTTCTAAATTTCTCGGATTTGCGGGCGTACCACCTAGCTCGTTCCGAACTCTTTGCACAGTTTTTTTAAGGAAAGTCCTTGAGAAATTTCACTTACTACACCTTGGGTGGAGTGTTCCAGTTGTTGTGCAACTTCTTTCATCCGGTTATAAGCTTGTTTTGCTTCAATCTTTGCCGTGTCTGCAACGTGATTATGTTCTGTGGATTTTGTAATTTCATCCACAACGGTATGCACTCTTCCTGTACATTTGCACTTATTATAAGTAGCACACTTCCAAATTGTCTTTTCACCAATCACTCGCTCTTTTTTATGGAGAAATCCATTATAAAGTAACAAGTTGTTGCCTTTTTGGCTGTTCACAAACGCTAACACCATCTTAACAGACTGATATCAATTTGTAAAATGTTTTCTTGTTAAGAACAGAATAAATTACCTACCGCGACAAGTTTCCCCTATATAAACAATTTGGTTAATGATGTTTTGTTATATCGGACCTTTTGTAATATTCATTTCTTAAAAACAATTATCAAACAATTAGGAAGTTTTATTTTCCTACTAATCGTTTCTATTTACATTCTTAACATTACCTGCGGAATTTACCAACCTTCCGGTTCGCGTTAAACCCTCATTAGACCCCTTACTGGGCTGGTACTTGGGTTTTTCTAATACCAAATTGTCCTGCATTTGGTATCTGAGTCCACTCACGAATGTTTTTTAACCAAGAAACTCGTTTTCTTTCTACACCTCTACGGCCCTCTATTTTGCCTTTAAGGATCAGTTGTAAAATTTTATATCGACTTGCTCTTACTATGTGTCCCAGATAAGACATTTTTCGATGTTTAACAGTCTTTAGCAGTTCTCTGTCTTTGTTGACGCCTCTTTATTAGTTTTTCTTGCTGTCCAAGGTATTTTCAGCATTCGTCTATGAACCCACATTTCCAATGATTCAATTTTGTTCATGATCGATACTTTTAGCGTCCACACTTCTGCACTATATAAAAGTACAGACCAAAAATAGCACTTATCCATTCTTTGCCTTAGTTCTAAACTAAGATGGTTATTGCAAAGAAATGACTTCATTTTCATAAAAGTAGTTTTAGTCATTGCTATTCTACGTTTTATTTCTATGTCTGGATCTAGTTGGTCCGTTATCACAGTTCAAAAATATGTCATTTTGTGAACTTTCTCAACTTGGACTCCGGTCAATTGAAGCTTTGCATCGGGATGTGGGTCACGACTAAACACTAAAAATTTGGTTTTGTTTGAGTTTATTTTAATGCCCATTTCATCTCCTACCTCGTGAATACGATCAAGCAGAATTTGAAGACTTTCAATATTATCTGATAGAATTACTGTTTCGTCTGCATATCTAATCACATTAAGTAGTTCCCCATTGATTTTTATTCCATATGGTTGTTTCTCAAGTGCCTTTTTAAATAATTGGTCCGAGTAAACATTGAACAATGTTGGCGACAAAATGCACCCTTGTCTGACTCCTCGTTGTATGGGGATTTCATCGGTGTATTTATCTCCAATTTTTACGATAGCAGTTTGATTCCAGTACAAATTTTTAATGACACTAATATCCTTGTCATCTATTCCGATATTTTTCAGTATTTGCATTGATTTTACATGCTGTACTTTATCAAATGCCCTTTCGAAGTCCACGAAACATTGCAAATACATCTTTTCTTTGGTCACGACATTTTTGTAATAGAATGTTAAGCGCAAAAAGTGCCTCCCTGTTTGCCATAGCATTTCTAAAACCAAATTGGGTATCTTCAAGATCTTCTTCGCATTTGCGTCTAATTTTTTTGTGAAGTATTCTGAGGAAAATTCTAAGAGTGTGGTTCATTAGGCTGATTAATCTATATTCTGAGCATTTTCTTGCATTATGTTTTTTAGGTATTGCGATGAAGATTGATTTGAGCCAATTTGCGGGAGTCACTTCGGTGTTATATGTTGAATTAAAAAGTCTACTACTACTTTTATGTTATAATCAGTTATATAAAAAATCTAAAGTTACATTTAAGTATTTTCAATGCGTAGTTCTTGAGTTGGTTGTGATATATTTATTTCTTTGTTTATATGCCAATTAAGTTACCTTTTTACTTGACACAACTGTAAAAAATACTCTCATCTGGGAATTCATCAATTTTTTACTGAAACTATTGTTGAATAAACAATTAAAATATCACACTCTTTATTTCAACTTCAAAACTTGTCTATTTAAAGATTTGACGTCAACAGACAATTTTTTCAGAAAAAAAGATCCACAAAATGAGATATACCTACTGAATTAAAATCGGTTAATAAACAAAAAAGTTATTGCAAAATGAATAAGAAAATCGCTGTTTTTGAATATCTTAACAACCTTTTTATTATTTATTAAAATTTGTTTCAATGTACCTGAACTTGAGGATGTTTGAGGAACAATAATCCGGAGCTTATTTTCTTCGTTAAGACTGATGAACTTTTCTTCGTGAACATGATAATGTATGGCTGTTAAATGTGTTATTGGAGAGAAGCTTCTATTTTCTTCTTTAGGTGCCGTGTCCGTATTCAGAAGTTGGCCGCCATTTTATGTTTACAATTTCCTTTCTCTATCGCTTCTATAAGCTTCTATACTGGCGTTGTATTACTTTTTTCTTAAATTAATTACTATTTAACTGGGAATAAGCCACAATTTGAAGATAAAAATACGTTTATTGACGTTTCAATTTCCACTTCGGAAATCTTTCGGAAAAAGTTATTCTTTTTTTCTAAAAAAAACTTGATTTCCGAAGTGGAAATTGAAACGTCAATAAACGTATTTTTATCTTTAATTGTATCTTATTCCCAGTTAAATGGTAATTAATTTAAAATGCCACAAGAAAATAGCTTCAGAACAATACTTTTTTTCTATTGTAAAATGCTGCAGCGAGCGTCACGGAAGAAGCGCTACGAGACGGCGTCACAAGTAGCTTCACGAAGTAACGTCTTCACTTCGATTTACTTCTTCTTCTTAAAGTGCCCTCTCCTCAATGGAGGTTGACTACTACAATTTTAAACACTTCTCTATCTTCAGCTGTTCTTATTAGCTGTTCAAAATTTAGCCCTGTCCATTGTCGGATGTTTCTGAGCCACAATAGTCTTTTCCTTCCTAGGCCTCTCTTTCCCTCGATTTTTCCTTTCACTATAAGTTGAGCATATTGGTACTTATTATTTCTTAGTATGTGGCCTAGGTATGATGTTTTTCTAACGTTTACTATGTTAAAAAGTTCTCTTTCCTTGCCTATTCTATGCAGCACTTTTTCGTTTGAGGTATGCGATGTCCATGAAATTTTGAGTATTCTCCGGTAGATCCACATTTCAAAGGCCTCCAATTTATTTTAATTTATTTATTTATTGACGTTTTAAGGGTCCACGTTTCGACTGCATATAGAAGAGTCGACCAGACGTTTTGATAAACGTAGTCGAATTTCGAGTTTTATTCGAGAATCACAAAGTAGTTTTTTGATTTTTTCAAAAGATTTTCTGGCCTGTTCTATTCTCGATCTTATTTCTAGATCAGGATTTAGGCTGCTATCGATCCAACATCCCAGGTACTTAAATCTATTGACCTGTTCTAAAATGTGCCCATTTATTGTGCAAGGTTGAGGTACATTTTGGTTTTTTCGGATTTACATCACTTTGGTTTTTTTAATGTTTATTTTCATACCAAATTACTCACAGGTCGAGTTGGTCTTGTCGATGAGTCGTTGTAGACCTAAGTCGGAATCCGCAATTAACACTGTATCATCTGCGTATCTGATACTGTTGATATTTACGCCATTCACATTGACTCCATCCTTGGAATCCTCCAATGCTTCTTTAAATAGAAACTCGGAGTAAAGATTAAACAGCAGAGGCGACAGGCCTTCCTAATTTCTACTTCTGCGGATGTGGAACCTTCGATCCTAACTCTGGCGTTTTGGTTCCAGTACAAGTTTTTTAAGAATTTGATGTCTTTTCCACCTAAACCGACTTCTTGCAAACGTTCTAATAGTAGGTCGTGTCTTACTCTATCAAATGCTTTTTCGAAGTCTATAAAGCATATAAATATATCTTTCTGTTGGTCGTAGCATTTTTGGGCGAGAACTAGTAACAAACTGATCGTCTCCGATGATTGTTTCGCACTTTCTATAGATACCATTCTGTACGATTTTTAGTAGGACTTTACTGCATGACTCATAAGGCTTATCAGACGGAACTCATTGCAGTGTTGTGGGTTTGGCTTTTTTGGTAGTGGGATGAATATTGACTCCAGCCAATCTTGGGGTATTTTACCTGTATCATAAATGCGATTGAATAAAAGGACAAATATTTCGATATTTTTTTAGCTGATTAATTTTAACGTTTCTGGGTATATTCCGTCTGGACCTGGGCTTTTATTTGTTTTGAGATGATTAATTGCATTTATGATTTCAGATTTCAGAATTGTTGGCCCTTCGTTGTTATTTTCCAATCTTGGTTCTTCTCGTATGTCGTGAAAAAGAATTTTAATATAATTTTCCCATTCTTTCAGTTTATCTCCGTTGATTCTAGCAGTTTGCCATCCGTGTTCAGCATGGTGCGAAAAGTCGTTCTCTTGGTAGTCGATGTAAACTCTTTTACCTTTTTATATAAATTTAAAAAATCATGCCTTTAATACTCTTTATTAATTCGTTTCTAGTCATCATACAGATATTATTTTGTTGACCATAGGAATTAAGGTTTATTGCAATCCTATCTTTAGAGTATATTTATTATAATGCTCTAAAACTAATTTTTTGGTTATTTTTTAGCGTTAATAGCAATACAAATCAATAAGTAAGTAAATAGGTAATATGCTTTATTGTCACTGAAAATTGTACAAATTTTTTGGACAAAGCTTATAACAATAAGACAAGAAAGATTAAAAAAATCAGAATAAGTATCGTTTGTACTTTTAAATAAAAAAAAACAATAAAATTATTCCAAACTTAAACATAAAAAATATTACCTAATTAAGAACCTAAAAACTTTGTAAAATGTACCTAACAAAAAATAAAAATTAGGAAAGCAGATTAATGAATTACGGGCTAAAATATTCCACCTTCTTGTGCTAAACAGTAACCAAATCTGTCATACATATTTCTCCTCATATTTTGGAGTAGGGCTCGTGTAATCCTTGCAGAAAAATGAAGTAATTTTGCCTTTAATTCGAATAGGTATGTGGCCCCTTTCAAACTGATCCCTATAAATGTTTTCTTTGAGAAAACTTATTACTCGTTACTACTACCACATGTACTTATCAGTCAATCAGGAAACGTTTGATTGAGGAAGTCAATAGTTGCTCTTAAGTTGTGAGCCGAATATCCATGCTGTTGGAAATAAACTTCCTGAAAATTAACGGGAAGGCGTCGAACTGCCCGAATGATCTCATTCTGTTAAAGTTGTAAATATTTGGGCCCGTTTAGGTTTCCATCGATGGAAAATGGACTGACAATATGGTCGCCTAACATTCCAGTCTAAACATTTAACTTTTGAGGATGCTGCGTTCGCGCTGCAACACTGAGGTGCTTATTTTTCAGAGAATATTACCTTGCAATGGATGGATCGTGTGTATATAATGAAAATGAAGATTCTTTAGAAAATAAAATATTTTTTAAAAAGTGTTAATTTTCATTCTGTATATTTAATATAAATTCACAAAACTCCATCCGCCTATAGTTATCTTCCGGAAACAGTTCTTGTGTTGGTTGTATCTTAAAACAGTGATACTCACTCTTTTTGAGAACTCGCTGGACAGTTCGAACATTCACGTTAGCTTCCCTAGCAATTTGTACACTATTGCAGGGTTCACTAGCTTCCACAAAAGCACAAATATCAATATCCCTGTTTTGACGCTCCTCATCAACAGGTCTAACACGTGGTTCATTACCTTCATGACACTTTTTACAACTGTTTACACATCCCGAAGTTTGAAAATGTTTAATGGTAATTTTAACTGTTGTAACACTTGGTGGAGGTCTATTTTCGAAGGCAACAATAAATAAATCAATTACTTCGCGTATCGAATGACCCTGAATGTACCATGTTACAAGTTGCACTTTTTCTTGGACGGTATACAACGTAATAGGCATTTTATTAATTATTTGTTTATTATTTCAGAACTTCGTTTGAAATTTTTGATGTCAATATGACAATTACGACAATTCGTAGAATTCGTAACTACTGTGAAATGAATATAGAGGTGAAACCGTGTAACATGTCACAGCGATTGCTATTGTGTTGTATGGTCAATAAAACAATGTAGTGATGTGTATTCCGGTCTCTAGTTACTAAGACTTGTCTTTCTGATTTCAAACACAATTATCTTTATTTTTGTTGTATATTTCGATTCAATTACATTATTCTGAATTTTTTTTGTAATCTTGATGTTTATTTATGCTATAGGATGTAGAGCAATTGAGAAAACTGGTATCAAAAGTAGACTAATAGCAGATGGTATGACGAGAGGTCCCGTTATTCGCTTTAGCTCAATTGTAACTGCCACTGAAGCATTCCACTGGACTAAAAAGGAAGCAAACTACTCAGCTTTACGAAGTTCCTTCAATTCAACCAGCCGTTTTGCAAGACTTCAAAAAATTTCTACACATATCGCTGGTCGTTACCTGTTTATTAGGTAAGTTTTGAATTTGTAGACATAGTTACCCCGCTTTTGCCTGTATGAGTTTAAATTCTCAAATTGTATTTTTTTACAATTATATATTATGGAGGTCGTAGCTCAAATCGGTGCCGATATGGGATTAATAAACTCTTCACGGATTGTTTACTTGCGTTAATATTTTTAATCTCAGGAATTTTTGGAGTGTGGCAGCATTGTTTTCGCGGCCTACTTGTCTTATCGTGTTTGGTTTTTAGCAGTTATGTCATACTGTCCCACTATTTAGTTGCCACTATTTATGCATTATTTTGATGATCATTATGACATTAAAAAGTTGAATGGGTTCTATAAAAAATATTTATTTAATAATTAGCTACCATACATTATCTATTAAAAAACATTATTGATCTTACCGTAACGTAGAATGGTAGAGTTAGAATGTTAAAAAGCTTCAACTTCAAAAAACTAGGTTCATTGGTAAAACCTTAACGACATAAAGATTCAAAAGGACTACTTGAATTGTCAGCACATGCGTTCTGGTAAAACAGAACCTCACATTTAAACTTTCTAACAATCAAAAATTTAGTTATTGCCGACAATTCAAAGAATTACTTCCTTTTAGATGTAGTTACATTGGGTTTTTCGATTAACCTTTGGTAAACCTTTGCGTTTTAAGTTTAAAGCTACCATACATTTCCAACGATAAAAAAAACTTTTTTTGCACATAGTAACAAAAAACACCACTATGTTGTTACTAGCTAAGTTTTTTAACATTCTAACTCTACAATAAATTCTAAGTTACGGTAAGATCAAAAATGTTTTTTAATAGATAATATATGGTAGCTAAGAAGAAGCCAAATTAATTCTCTTTGGTGAAAACGTTCGGCGAAACAATTGATACTCATTATTGCAGATTTCCCCAATATTTAAGAGTTTACTATTTAACTTATCTGCAAACATTGAATTTCCTTTCCTATATATATATATATATATATATATATATATATATATATATATATATATATATTACAGAAATGTACTTTTAATATAACAAATCGTCATCATCATCTTCTGCTAAATCAGTAAGTACAGCAGGTCTGATGTCTTCACGATTAAAACAATTTCTCTATCCCAACACCGCTGTATCTCAGATTCTGTATTCTTTATTGTGTTTGACCATACTTCTGGTGATATTTGGACCAGGGAATCGTTCCAAACTGTCAAAGACTTTGCAGCAAAACTGCCATTTGTACTAACATGATCAGAGGAATACTTTTTACTTATTCCCCATATATGCTCACTTGCGTTAAAATTATAGTGGTACGGAGGAAGTCATTTAAAAATAAAGTAAATTCTTACTTACATACATTCACTTGTGTCTTTGAACCTGCCATTCGTGGGTCTGGGATTCTGTGGTTTCCATTTAGTGGTGGTGATTGCGTTGTCCGGGATTCGTCCAATGTTTATTTGTCCGCCTCCATTTCCAATTTTTGATAACCATTTCCATTATTTTTCCCTAGTTCGGAGAGATCGCCATATAATGTCGGGACTAGGCGCCTTTTATTTTAATTCGCAGTTAATTAAACCCATAATAAAAAAGTATTTGATTCACTATATTATTCCATTAAGGCAAGGAAAATAGAACTATTTCATAATAATTTATATTTCATACCAATTTATATTATTTTTTAGATTTGTAGCTGAAACAGGCGATGCAATGGGTATGAATATGATTTCCAAAGGCACAGAACAAGCCTTGAATACATTAAAAACGCATTTTCCTGACATGGAAATTCTGAGTTTAAGTGGAAATGTTTGTACTGACAAAAAGCCGGCGGCAATGAATTGGATAGAAGGAAGAGGAAAAAGTGTAGTTTGCGAAGCAATTATTCCCTTTCATATTGTTTCTTCAGTATTAAAAACAAGTTCAGCTGCGATGGTTGACTTGAATATTTCGAAGAATATGATAGGTTCAGCTGTCGCTGGAAGTATTGGTAAGAATATTTTTATGACGTCATTATCATCATTGGTGTTACAGTCCTAGAGTAGATAGATAACTTTCCCAAGTCTATTTCGCCAGTCAGCCCTATCCATTGCCAATCGTTGCCGGTTTGTTGCACATATTTTTCTGGCATCTTCATCTACGCCATCCTTAAACGCTAGTTTTGGCCTACCTCTCCATCTTCTTCCGACCGGCTGTGATATAAGGATTTTTCTAGGAGAGTTGCCCAGATATGTTTATAACATAATACATAGAAATCACGGGTTCAATGAAATCGTGCCCCATTGCAGACTTCTTCTTCTTCTTTTTATGAAGACATGATTCTGTCTGTTTTTCAATTTACTCTGTTTGTTGTCATTCGACTTATATGATCATTCCCTTCTACTATTATATTTTTCACAAGGAAAATAATTCCTGCAACTGGCTGTATACCACGTATCACAAAAAAGAGGTTAAATCTTTGTAAATGGGTGTATTTAAAAAAAAACCCTTAAAAGGGCTACATCAAATTAACACGAACGTTTTCGGAATAATAATTCCATCATCAGGTTAAAAATGCAGGTTAACATGCCTGAGCCACCAAAATATTAGCGTAAAAACCCTTTAAAATATCTGTGGCTTGGAGCTAAAAGGGCCAATGTCAACATTTTGCTATTTTGAGTACACCATGCCATTCGATTTTCTTTTCTTACAACTTTCATATGTTAAAACGGCCAATGTCAATTTCAACCAATACCCGATCCATAAGTTTAATGGTGGCCAATGTCAAGATGAATGAATTCACATCACGTTAAGCTAAAAGTAGTATTAATATTTTGTGAAATAAACAGTTGGCGATTGTCTACATTGGTCTTTCTATGTAGTGTAAAAGGATAGAGATAACTGCATTTTAGCATGAGTCATTATCAGTAGTGCCATTGACACGTTGAGAAGTTGTACATTGTAATTTCAGTTTTTAAGTTGAATTTTAAGAAAAAATGAATGTTAATCTACGGACAAGAAAGATTTTAAAAATGTGTAACACTGACGATTACACTAATGGTAAGTGATAAGATAAATTTAAAACATTACACTAAAATGTAATACTCGCGATTTTGAGGTTACATTTTGTTGCGTGGCTAATAATTTGACCGGTGTTAATTTTACTTAAGTAATTTGTTTTACCAAAATTACATTTGAATATTACTTATATTACGAACCTTCATCGTTTTCTTACACAGTTGACCTCAGTCAGAGATAATGAAATCATAGGAAATATAGATTTAAGTGATCCAGAACCGTCTGAAGATCGCAGTGATGAATATGTACCAACATGTTCTGATAATGACACTGACGAAAACCAAGTAGGGCAGTTTGAAGATGTTAATAAAATAACTGTAGTAGATAACAATCCACAATTGAGTGGTCCTGCTGAAAATCAATCACGCAGAGGAAGAAAAAAAGAAATACTAGATGAAGCTACAAGGAAACGAAAGCGGAATCCTTCAAAGTGGATAAGAATTGTAAGAAAATCGTTGAAAACTCAAGGTAGAGCGTACACGTCAGTCTGTGGAAACAAAACAATACCTGCTAAGCAGCTAAAGGCAGCCTGCATATGCAAAAAAAGTGCAGTGAAAAATTTACCCAGGAGGAACGACAAAGACTTTTCACTGGATTTTATCAGTTGTGTAGCTCTGGACAAAACCAGTTAATAGAAAATTCCATAGAAGAAGAGGAAAAGAAGCTCCAACGATTAAGACGTAATGATGGTAATCAAAGTAGGCGAAAGTTTACTAGAAAATATTTTTTATCACGTAAACAGTGGTAAGAAAATTGAAGTGTGTCAAAGCATGTTTTTAAATACATTTGACATAAGTTTGAAGAAAGGGCGAGTAATTGTTGAAAAGAAACGGTCTACCGGAGGTTTATGTCCGGAAGATGGACGTGGAAAACATGGAAAGCAATCTAAGGTTTCAGAAAATGATAAACTCTTGATAAGAGAACACATAAACCAATTCCCGGCTTACCAAAGTCACTACTTGCGCTGCCATACGCACAAGAAGTACTTGTCATCCGACCTATCTATTGCTGAAATGTACCGACTGCATGTCAATTATTGTAAAGACAGAAATATTCAACCGCAAAATGCCTGGATGTATAGAAAAGTATTTGTCGAGGAATTCAACCTCTCTTTTTATAAGCCTAAAAATAATACGTGTGCAAAATGCTACAAGTTTGAGATGCAGTTAAAATGTTGTAACAGTGGGACAATACGAACGTCAATCGAAGAAGAAAAAACAGTCCATTTACAGTTAGCTGAGTCCGCCTACGAGTCAAAACGAAGAGATAAAGAAGAATGCAATAATCCAGGTTACGTTACCATTTCCTTCGATTTACAAAAATGCTTGCCTACTCCCGACCTCAGAAGTGGTTTGAATTTTTATAAACGCCAACTGTGGACGTTTAACCTCACTATCTATCAAATCATGGGAAAACAATCATCTTCCATATGTTACGTTTGGAATGAAACGGTGGCTGGCAGAGATGGATAAGAAATTTAGCATTACCTGCATAAACTCACAGAAGAAAATAATAATATTCATACAGTAACTACGTACAGCGATTCTTGCGGAGGACAAAACCGCAATATATTTTTTCTACAATGTTACTGCAAACTGTTTCTGAATTGAAAGCTAAAGGTAAAAACTTGACTATTAACCACAAATTTCTTGAGAGTGGTCATACTCATATGGAGGCAGACAGCATTCATGCCTTAATAGAAAAAAACAAAAAAACGTACTACTGCGGATATTGACTTGCCTCGAGATTGGGCAAACTTGATACGTTTGGTGCCAAGAAAACCACATATACATGTAATAGAATTGGAACAGTTTTTAAATTTTAAATCATGTTTAAATACTCATTATGTGCATCGTAAAAACAACACTCTAAACGAACCAGTTCAGTGGTTGCAAATTAAATGGATGCAATATTCAACCGACACCCTAGCTATCTTGTATAAACACTCGTTTGATGGTGAGTTCAAATCGTTGGATATATCCAGAAGTCACACGAAAACAAGGCAGTGTGATCATCTTCCTACACTTCTACCACTTAACAACGAACCACTTCGTTTAAGCAGAGAAAAACTTATGGACTTAAAGGCACTTTTGCCGTACATAAATAATACAAATCGAACATAATACAATCATTTCATTGAACAAATAACTGCAGATGACAATAAAATAGTGGAATACTTTCCAGATGAACCTCAAGAAGAGGAGAATGTATCAAAATAATGGAAGTAGCATTGCCGATATTTTTTGATAATAAAAATTATATATATTTTTTATTTTTGGATACAATTTTAGTTTCTTACTACTAGTTTTAATTTTCTTACATTGAATTACAATGAAATGTGTTACTCCATAATAAATTATTAAAAGTATGCTGTTATTCTTATTGTTACTTTTTTTGTTGTGATGGCCAATATCATACACAATGAAACAAACACGTCATACATTTATGCAATAAGGGACAAAGTCATTTTTTGCTAAGACTTTTGAATTTAGAAAAAAATAAAAAACACTATCATATTCTGCTCAAAAATATTATACATTGAGTCAAATCTGGTACATAAAGGTTGTTCGCCGGTTAAGCTATAATTAAAAATAATTTTCACCAAAACTTCAATTGCGATTTTCTGAAATATGAACATTTTGATACTGGCCCTTTTAGCCCCAAGCCACAGATATATAAGGTTAACAAATATTGTATATAATGTTGTTATTAATATTTGATGTTAAATATTTAATTAAATTTTACTTTAGGTAACATACACCCATGCTTTAAGTGAGTTACTGTGTCCGGAGAGTAAACCTCTTCAAACGGACTTTACCTGGTAACTGCCAGCTAAACTTAATGACCTTTAGAAATGTTTTAAGTAAGGCTAAAGGTCGATTCAGATACATCAGTTCCGTCACAGTCTTGGCGCCGAACCGGTCCTGTTTGGTGACAGAACTATCAACTATCGGACAGCTGGCAAACTGTTCGTCAACTGATGAATGTGAATGCCGGCGCCATATTTCTATTAAATAATATTTTGTATGACGGATTGTTCGGTTCGGCGCCGGGACTCTGACGAGACGTGTCTGATGTGTCTGAATCGATCTTTATATGACGACTTAACCAAAAATTTTAACTTGAAGTATGCATCGAAATTCACTTTCTGTCATATATTGACACATAAGTGAGGTTAACTTTCTTCTGTTGATCGTCAATGTTAGGTTAACTTGCATTTTTCAGTCTAATTTGATTTTTTATATTTTTATTTAATCTATAGTATAGTATATAGTATATAATAGTTTATAGTGTAGGTATATATAGCGTACGTAGATGTTTTTGTGTTATTAGGATTTTTATTTTGATATTTTTTTGTTGTAAATTCCACCAAAGTGTATAGTTTATCGTGATATATTCTATATTATAGAATATAGTGTATACTATAGTTTAAACTATTATATTTATTTTACACTAGCTACAAAATAAAATATCAAAATACATAAGGACACAGGTCACCATTTACAATAAATATTGAAATGACATTGACATATTAAAGACAGGATCAAAAATGACACAAATGTTGACATTAATTAAGAATTTCTGACAATTTTGCAAAGTTGGTATTTCTGACAACCTAAGTTTTTTCTTGGTTAAGTTAAGTAAAAACTTGTATGGTGAAACGCAAATTACAACTAAGAAATTTTTTTGGCTAAGCAAAACTTAGGTAATATTTTACTTAGATCATGTTGTTGAAACCGGACGTCAGTATTTTCTCAGAATACTGAACTGAACTGAACTCTAAATAGTTCACAATAAATCAAATATTTCTAACATTTTAACTGTGCGTTTTCATTTTAGGTGGATTTAACGCTCACGCTGCCAATATTGTAACTGCCATTTTTATAGCGACAGGCCAGGATGCTGCTCAGAACGTATCCAGTAGTAATTGCTTAACAATTATGGAACCTTGGGGTGAAAATGGAGAAGACTTATATATTTCTTGTACAATGCCTTCGATAGAATTAGGAACAGTAGGTGGAGGCACAATATTACCGGCACAATCAGCATGTCTTAAAATGTTGGGCGTAGCTGGGTCTAACGAAAAGGTACCTGGAGATAACGCCAAACAATTAGCTCGAATTGTTTGTGGTACAGTTCTAGCAGGAGAATTATCACTAATGGCTGCGTTGGCAAGTGGTCAATTAGTCAAAAGTCATCTAAAGTACAATAGGTCTTGCTCCAGTAAAGATGCTATGAGTTTAAGTTGTGATATCGCAGGAAGTTTATGTAATTTGACTAAAAGCAGTTAAATGTGATACTTGTTTTATAATTTAATAAATTAATTTATTTTATGTTTAGAAATTATTTATTTATTTTACTCTAAATCTATGGACCTAGTAAAGGAGAACTGCAAAATAGAAAGACATAAGGAAGAAATAAGAATGGAAAATGAACATTTGTAGAAGTTAGCAAATTTTTGTACACCACAGTACCAGGCCAAATTATAGGCCAAGTATTGAAAATTTCCATTTTTTTAATTCTAAAGGTGTTTTCTGGCAAGTAGTGCTTATCTTATTGAATTATTCTCGATTATTTTTTACGCAGAGGATACAGACTTTTAAAGAATTGGAAGAGACTTGGAGAAACTTGGATTGGAGTGCACCAAAGTGCACAACGCACCATTTTATTACACAAAAAGGGCGATCCAATAGAACTCGTGAATTACCGACTCACAAGCCTGTTAAACCATCTTCACAATCTTCAAAAAAATAATTATAAATAGACTAGAAACACAATTAGATTTTTACCAACCTAGGGAACAGGCAGCAGAAAACTTGGCACCAACGACCACTTTCACTACATAAAAGAGAATATAAAAAAGCATTCGATATGATAGAAATTAACAGCGTAATGAGAGCATTGGAGGATAGTCGCATAGATTATCGGTACTCCAAACTGATAGCGAATATATACAATAATGCAACCATAACCATAATACTACACAAAGATACAAAATGTATAAAAATCAAAAAGGAATCAGATAAGAAGACGTGTTATTTCCCAAACTCTTAATGGTAGTTATTATTATTATTATAATATAAGCGAGGGCAGAGGAACTAAGTCCCTATTATGCCCAAAAACAAAGAAATTTCATTTATCAGCTACTAGTAAATAACAAAAATTACAACTAAAAGAAATAAAATTACAATTTTTGGTTTAAAGGAAAAACAATATTTTAACTATAATATAAAACTGTCGAGTCTGTTTTTGAACGAGTTGGTAGAAGAAGCGGAGACAATGTTATCGTTGAGGTTATTCCAGCACTCAAAAACTCTATTTGGAAGAAAGTTCTGTCTTTGTCTTATAGAAAAATTTTCTTTCTTTAGTTTATATTGATGACCTCTGAGGCGTTCATCTTGGTTTATGATAAATATTTCATCGAGGTTTCCAAAATTGAATTTTAGTATTTTGAATGTTGTAATTAAGTCTCCACGTTGTCGGCGAAGTTCAAAAGTAGTTAGATTAGCCATACTAAGTCTTTCTGCATAAGACGGTCTTCTCGGTCCCAAAGAAATTCGAGTGGCTTTTCTTTGAACGTTTTCCAACAGATTCTTGTCTCGAACCAGATCGGGATACCACGTTGGTCCAGCGTATTCTAGTATGGGTCTTACGTACAAAGTGTAAAGTTTGCAAAATGATTGCATTGAAACTCCCGAAAAACACCTCCGAATAAGATACAGTCTGGAGTTTGCACGTTTACAAATAGAGGTAATATGATCGGACCAAGTTGAGCTGCTGTTCACAATAACACCAAGATCGTTATACGAAAACACAGATTCTAATGGCTGCCCGTTAACAAAGTACGGCACAAGTGGGTTATTTTTGCCAATTCGAAGCACTACACATTTTTCCGCGTTTAAGGGTAGTAACCACTGGGAACACCAAGTTAAAATAGAGTCCAAGTCCATTTGGAGGGTTAGCTGGTTTGTGTTTGGATTGGCATATATTTTTGTGTCGTCAGCGTAAAACGATATTTTACTTGAGACATAATAAGGAATATCGCTGGTGTAAACCGTAAAAAGCAGAGGTCCAAGGACAGAACCCTGAGGCACTCCACTTTCCACTAACCTGTCCTGTGAGAAAGATTCGCCAACTCTAACTTTGTAATATCGATCTGTCAGGAAATCATCTATCCAACGAAGTAAAGTACCGCGAACTCCGAAATGTTCTAGCTTATGTAGAAGTATGCGCTTAGGTACACGGTCAAAGGCTTTAGAAAAATCTAGATAAACAACGTCGACCGGCTGGGAACTGTTAAGGGATGAGGTCCAGTCGTTAACACAATGTAGGAGATTGGTTAGAGTAGAGCGACCAGAGACAAATCCATGTTGTTGTGTTGGAATAACATGTTCCTGGAGAAGGAATTTGGTCATCTCCTCGGAAATTATGGCTTCCATAACTTTGGCAACTACTGGCAGCAAGCTAATCGGACGATACGTGTTGGGGTCGAGTTTGTTGCCTTTTTTAAAAATAGGGGTAACGGAAGCTAATTTCCAACTAGGGGGTAAGGAGTTTTGGATGAAAGAGGTTTGCATAATTAACGTTAAGGGTATTGCAAGCGTGTCTGCGCACCTTTTTAACAGTTTTGGTGTTAAACCATCTAAACCAGGTGAAGCGGCCGTGCGAAGTTTAATTAAGTGTTCTTTGACATGATCCTCTGTGAATTCAACTTGCTGTAAGGATGCGCCGACACGATTACAGTTAACAGCAGGTAGATAACCATCATTTAATTCTTTAGTAAAAACCTGTGAAAATGCTAAAGAGAGAGTTTCGGAAGATTCTTTGTCAGAAGAGCATAAAGTCTGGTTGGATTTTTGAAGTAGCGGAATGGAAACTTTAGATGTCATGGAGGAACATATGTATTTATAGACTTTTTTAATGTTACCACTTTCAATAACGTTTGCTTCAAAATTTTGTCTTAGGGTTTTTAGAGATGTTTTTAAGTTATTTGAAAATCTGCGGTGGTTTTGGAAATCACTAAGAAGCCCGGTGTGTTTAAATTTTCGCCATAGATGTCGTTTGTGATTAATTTGTTTAATTGCTGTTCGATTTATCCAGGGTTTGAGGTTGTTTTTATAACTCTTACGGAAAATAATATTTGTAGAAATTATATTGTGGACTTTATCGAGAAATGCAGTCCACATTAATGAGGGGTCGTTTAAGTCTGCAAAAAATAAATGCTAGTCGATTTGAGAGAGTTCAGTGTCAACTTCCGAAAAGTCGGTAGTAGCATATGTTACAATGTTATTTTTGCGGGGTAATATTTGATTGAACTGGATGTGAGCCGTTATAACTGCATGATCTGACTTTCCTATGGGAGAACTGACTTCGAGAGATGAAATCAGCTGTTCGTCATTAATAAGCACTAGATCTAAAGTAGAAGGTTGGTTATTATTCCTAAATCTAGTAGGTTCTGTAATGAGTTGTATCAAGTTTGAATTTACTACAAAGCTTTTAAATAAATTATGAGCGTTTTCGGCGTCAGATAATGAAGTTATTGGCCAGGTGATCTCTGGGAAATTAAAATCTCCAGTAATGATAAGATTATCAAGAGATGATAGTTCTTCAAGTTTTGTGAAGAAAACATTATCGTGTGCAAGTAGTGTATTAGGTGGACGATATATACATACTAGAATAAGGCAAAAATAATTTTTAGTAACAGATAAGTGAATTGCATCTATTCCAGTAATATCTATTAGCTTAAGGTTAATTTTGAAAGTTGTGGTAATAATATTGGATAAATAAATGCATACACCGCCACCCACACGATTTTCTCTGTCTTTACGATATATTGTATATCCATTTATATTAACAGAGGAGTCAGGAATTGTGGGTTTGAGCCAGGATTCGGCAATACAGATAATGTCCGGTTTAAGAAGTTGCACTGTGCATACAAATTCGTCAAACTTAGCGGAAAGTGAATCTAAATTAGTATATAGAAATAGCCAGTCATTAAATTTGTTGGTAGAAAAATTATGAACGAAATTTCGTAATTCTGGGAGTGCCATTGATGTATTTAATAGTTAAATCATGTTCACCGTTATTTTTGCGAGTTTCTAGCTCACTTCGGAGTTCTTTTAAACGTACTTGTTGGATGGGCGTCTTGTCGTCAATTATTGAAAATTTTTCCGTGGCTTTGTTTTCCAGAAGTTTGGCTTTATTTCTCAGAATATCTTTAACGTGGTATTCCGAACCCATCACTACCTTTATCATTCGGGAAAATCGTTGGTTTGCTTTGCCGACTCTGTAGAAGGTGATTTGCTTTTCCTGGCAGCCAACAGTATCCAAAACAAGCTTCACCTTATTCGCGTCATCATCTTTTCTGCGTTGTACATCCCCAGAGGAAGATTCTGTTACGCCTCTAATTAGAATATTTTTAGCGCGTGTTATACGATCTACAGCTTCGTTAGCGATATTATCCGTGAATTCGGTAGACTTAAATAAATTAATCTGGCTGAGCTTATCGTTTAACTCAGTTATTTTATTATCAAAATCATCAATTTTCGCACGAATTTCCATTTTAAAATCTAGCAGAAGATCTTTTATTTCTGAAATATTAGAAATATTGGAGCTGCAAGAGTTACAGAGTATGTTCAGTCCTCGAATTTTCTGTCGGGTGACGCGGTCCTCCGATGAAAGGTCGGTGCATGTGATATGTATTTGTCGCTTACATCCATCGCACTGGAGTTTGCGGTCAGCTGTCGCTATGGTTTTCGAGCAGTTCGAACAAAAAGAGGTGGACGGCATTGTCCGGTTTTTTGTGTATGTAATTAGTATTTGGTTTTATATTAATATATTGTGGTATGATACTCACAGTAATTATTCGCTGTAACTGCACTTTTTACACAAAATTTTTACAAAAACTACTGACTATTGATATATGGAACAATCATGCAAAATTTCTTTGCGAAATAATTATTTTGTACAGAATAATCGTGAAAATCAATACGAGCACAAAATTTTACGTGTGTCGTCAACCAACTAGCAGGTTGTACTTGTTCTGGAACATACTTTCAAAAAATTGGAGTGGAATGCCAAAGGAATCAATGTCGACGGCGGAATGCTCTCCTACATAAGATTTGCGGACGACATTGTTCTAATAACAAATCACTTAAAAGAGATTGGAACTATAATCACCCATGATAAATAAGGAGACAAGATATGATATTGCCACGCACAAAACTAGTACATCTCGCGCATGACGTCACCCTGTGCTAAGTTTTTAAAATGTATTCATGCTTGCGGATGAAACGAAACGTTGAAATTCTAATATAATTTACTAGATTTTTTATTTAC